TCGGATCGTGGTGGCGAATATCTCTCGAATGAATTTAGGAGCTACTTGACGGATAGTGGGATTACGTCCCAACTGACTGCGCTTGGCACGCCTCAGCAGAATGGCGTTGTAGAACGGAGGAACAGGACTCTTATGGAAATGGTTAGGGCAATGATGAGTTATAGTAGTTTACCAGATTCGTTTTGGGGATATGCCCTAGAAACAGCGGTATACATTCTGAATTGAGTACCTTCTAAATCAGTACCGTCTACACCATTGGAGTTGTGGTCTGGGCATAAGCCTAGTCTAAGACATCTCAGAATTTGGCGTAGCCCAGCACATGTGCTGAGAACCGATACTGATAAGTTGGAACCGAGATCAGAAGTAAGGCTGTTTGTGGGATATTCTAAAGAAACGAAAGGTGGTCTATTTTATAGTCCCGAGGACCAGAAAGTAATCGTTAGCATGAATGCTAGGTTCTTGGAAGAAGACTATGTCTTAGATCATAAGCCCAGTAGTAGACATGTTCTTGAGGAGTTAAAGGGAGTGAGTACTTCAATACCAAGTGCGCTAGATGTTACACCACAAAGTACTGCAACACGTATCGCTGACGTTGCACCTGAGCAGGTAGTACCTCGTCGTAGTGGGAGGGTTGTCCGGTAGCCCGAACGGTTCATGGGTCTGGGAGAGTCTTCTGAGGCCGTCCCAGACGTTCTTGAATCCGACCCATGGACATACAATGAGGCACTCCATGTTGGTGTTATATCCTAAAGCTTTGCTTTAGTGGATATTACACTTGTTATTTCTTGATGAATGAGAATTATGTTTGGTTAAATAAGTTCTGCATTCTGTTGTTTTGCATGTAGATAAGTGGGTCGTCATCGGGCGTACCGAAGATCACTATATCAGTTACTTGCGAAACAAGAATCATTGGTTCACAACCTAGATGGAATTGAACAACCCATCGAAACGGTTGTAGTGTCAACCGTACGGCTTGTCTTGACCGATTAGTTGCACTAGTACATTTATGTATTGAACAGGATCCCAGAGAGGGATGTTCGTTTTATATTGATCGTCAAAGATATTAAATAGGCATGTGCACATAATTGTTGTTGCTTTGATTCTTTGGGTGAGATCCAAGCCGGGTCGACATACTTAATGAATTAGGTAATTACATTATGTGTTCGATGTGCTATTAGGATATTTACGGTCACCATGTGCGTTAGTAGGATAATGTCCCCGAAGTGAGTTCATGAAGGAATATTATGCTAAACCCTGCAGGTGGATTT